TGCCGTGGGAAGGACCTGAACACCCTGAATCGCCCGAAATTGGGGGTCATTGGCGTCATAGCTCACGGCTTTCATTTGACTTTTACTATATCAACGCCACAGCACCCAAAGGACAGCTCTTGCATGGCAGAGCTTTTCTGCCACACGCTCACGAAGTTGGAGCGGCAGGGGGTGAAACTGGCCGACACGGTCGTTCACCTGATCGCTGACAACACTCCCAGAGAGACCAAGAACTCGACGACATTAAGGCTGTTGTCCATATTGACCCAACAGCGTGCCTTCGACCTGAAAAGACCCAATTTTAAGTAGAGCGTATTGAAGATAAGCCTTCACGTGAGGGCAACAAACAAACAATAAGTGGCAGAGGAAGTGACCAACAAATCATTTGCCTTCGCTCCAAGGAATCATCGCTGGATCGACAATGCGGCACTTACGCACAGGACACTCCCATGAAGACATCGATCAGTGCTTCGGGTCCTTGAGTCTATTTGTCGTTCGGAATGGTCGTTGCCTTGAGACACCATCGCGGTTCTGCGAGCTCATCCAGAAATTTGCCACCACTTGCGACCGGCCGCACGAGTTGGAGCGATCTGTCACGCTGTTCGACCAACACCGCCCGTGGACATTTGCAACGGTTCAGCAGTTTTGAGGTCTATCCAATGCCAATAACTTTAGTTCAACGATTGAACGGTAACCTGGTAGCCAAGAGAGGTCAAGAGACGACAACAATCAATAGGGCCAACTCTAATGACTCTAATGTAACATATATAATAATTGGCACTATTTTCTTGTGTTCTCTTGATTGCAATGTTCCATTTGGATTGGCCTGCAACAAAGACTGCAACTCCATTTGAAGAGGAAAATCCGAACTTGTGGTATTGTTTTTTCGCAAGGCAATCCCAGTGGAACATTAGCGCCTCTTATTGACCTCTCTTGGAGGCTAGGCGCAGAACGATTTACAATAGTTTTTTCTTGGGCTTTTGACTGCAGGAAAGACTTCCTTAGCGGCGTGTGCCCTGTGATGATCTCTGGAATCGGGGGGGCCAGGCGCGCCGCACCACTTTGAGATATCCAGACGAGCCGATTTGGGCGACTGGTCGGCTAATGGTCATATGTTTTGGAGGGTGTGCTCATGGGGCGACAGGAACGGCCGGAAGGTGCTAATTTTCCAACTTTTTGGAGTTCCATTCTGCGGGTGAGGGGACTTACGTATTTCATCGTATTTCTATTAGGGCGCTCCCCCACCCCTCAAAAAAGGACCGTGCATAGATCCTTCGCTCCAAAAACAGAGCCCCTGTGGAATTATGGTTTGCAGCCCAAATCGAAAGCGTTTGTTCATGGGCGGTTTTTCCACCAGCAAATATTTTCTCGTGAGATGAGTGTTGCGTGCCCCGGTGGCAGTCAGGCTCTATAGCTGATTCAGCCAGTGACACGTACTGGAATTTGGCGGAGGAAGATCATCGGCCCAATGATATCATCATACGGTCGCTGGGGTGCATTCATACCTTGAGCTCTGAAACACGACCATTTGTGTTCAGTTCATAGCTACTATTTGAGGCCAATGTAGTTGTGTAAGCCCTTGCGTGCTCGGGTCCATGTTTGTGTTTTGTGTTGTGTTTGTTCACGGCTTGGTCAGGACGAAGCAGTACATGCAGGACAGAGACTACAACAGCTGTTTTCTTTTCTACCCCGGAGTGGTGGGTGAGCAGAAGATCCCTGATGGCCTCCCCTTAGGCGAACCGGCTAGCTGATTCAGAGTTGCTTTTGTTCTATGGTGAGTGAAGTGCTCCTAGCCCAGTTGCCCTCCAGGGGTTGCTGACAACAACGACCTGCCGACCGAATACCGGGAGCACTTGAGGAAGTTCGTGCCAGTCCTGAGGTCTTATAGTTTGAACGAGGCTGGAGACTATTACGAGAAGTGGGTGAACGATGAATTGGAGCCATCGCCTCTTTTGGATATCTCGGCGCACTTTGTTCGCAGTTGCAGCGTTTTGCGCAGCTTTCTTGTTTTGTCCCGATGTCATCGTGCCAGTAGCAGCAGCAATTTTGCCCAGGTGTTCCTTCCGGTCAGGATCAGCTTTCACTCCACATCACGATGGGTTTGACCTTGTGCGGACTTTTGAGCCCCGCGAAAACAGATTGCGGCTTCCTGGTTGCAACTGAGTGGGGTGTTCAGGATTGCAAGTTTCCAAGTTTCCACCGGACTTGGCCACCCCGCAAACTGGCGTTCATCTGGCAACCCCAATTCAAACCTACGAGGAATCGAACACACCTGGCAGTGTGTGCTCAACTCTGAGGTTGACCCGTGGTCCTGATGACCGCAAAAATTGCGACAAATACATAGCAACAGCTTCTAGAGCTCTGGCTTTAGAAGCGGCTGCAGAAGCGTGGTCGGCAGGGGTTGAGTGGAACGAGGCCTTAGGGCTGGCCGAACGAGCGGTCAAGAAAGTGAAAGCCATCATTGGACCCGTGGCGAAGCCAAAGTCCAAGGGTAAGGCTAAGGCTAAGGGCAAAAGCAGGGCCAGGGCTTGATCTTCTGGGCAACATTTAGCGTGAGAGTTATGCGTTTAAAGGTGTGGTTGGTGGTTGAACTCGACACCTCAGCCCTGTGCCCACAGCCCGGATCCACCACTAAATGCTAATGTGGCGGAGGCCAAAATCAGTGTTGAGTCTGAGGTGGTTTTCATCACCTGTGGAGCTGTTTGTGTTGTTGGGGATGTCTTTGTTTTCTTTTGTAAAGATTTTTTGACATTTGCAATCATTGGGGGTGTTGAATCCCACCCTGCATCCAACACTTTGGCCGGGCTCTTTGCGCAGGCAACGTGGTGGTGGATTTTGTCTTTATATTCTGGAGATAAGGAAACTATTATTCCAGGATATCAATTCAACCACATCCCCGCTGATTTGACTTTGGTATTCAACGCAAAGGTCATTGATGGTTCACGATGGGAAACCCTAAACCCTAAACGTCACCGGAAAAAAGAGAGCAGCATTTAGTTCCTTTGATACACTACAAGTTTCAATACATAGAAATTCATGCCCGCCCCACTCCTTAGTGTCGGATGTGAGGTGGAATTCGACACTAACACTCAGGGTGCCAGGGTGAACAGTCAGGTCTACGCAGCTCTTACTATACACAGGCGCCACTAAACACCCAAATCATTGTAACAGGTCATAGCCTCAAGAAAGTTTTGCGCAACCCTAAACCCTAAACGTCACGGGATGAAAACGGGCAGCATTTACTTCCCTTTATAAACTACAGGGTTGTAAACATAGATTTCCACGTGTGTGCTCAAGCCTTAGTGTCGAATCCCAGGTGGAATTCGACACTAGTGATCTTGGTGTTTGTGCTTCCGGCTTAGTGTCGAATTTTTGGTGCTGATCCACATCAGAGGTATGGTCTTCATGAGGTCCTTAGTGTCGAACTTTATCGGGTTGTGGGTGAAGGCTTTTGAATACATTCTACTGATTCGGGTGTGTGATTCTAAAGATTTCTCTCAGTGCCATTATGAAAGTGTATGAGAGTCAAAGCGTTGGAGCTTCGCGTGTTTTAGGTTTGTGATTTTCCATGTTTATGTGAACGTTGCAATTTTCCGCTCAGCCTTGACCATATAAAGCGTCCCTCACAAGCCTTTAAATTTCCATTGTGGTCAAATCTGAGCAGAAAATTGGCAGGAGAATGGAGTGTTTTGGCGCCCTGTGTCTAGGAGGAATCTCTTGGGGGAAGCCATGAAACTGATTCTTATGTAACCTGCTTTCCAGCGTGGCGTAAGGCAGAACGGTGTTGCTGATTGTTGTGTCCACTCGAAGAGTTCTGCGTGGCAACGGTGGGCTCAGAGACAGACCCGGGTTTTTGACGGTTTGTGACCATGCCGGCCAAGCGGAAATCGGGCGGCGGAGATCCTAACAAGAAGGGGGGGAAGGTGACCAAGCCAACTCCTCAAGCCGTGACATGCCCAGTGACCGCAAGTATCTGTGATTGGTTGCTCGCTTGATTTGTTTTCCTTTTTTGGTAGTGCCAACTTCGTGCGATGCTGTTTGTGGACGGGGTGGAGAAGTGTTGGTTTTGTTCTTTAACATTGAATGATTTGCTGCAGGTTGCAGAAGGAAGTCATTCCTTTGGGCAGTTTTGAGGCCTATGTTGACAAAACCTTCGACACAGAGGCTCAAAGGGTCCATTTGATGGAGGGTGATTGGTTGGAGTTTACTTTTGACATTGAGTTTCACCATCGCTCAACAGGAACTGGCAGATTTTAAGTATGGCTTTTGCAAGCTTGATTTGGTCGGGAGCAATGAAATGTCTTCAATGTCGATAGCCAATTATTTCTAAAATAGGCAGGAACGTTTGTGGGAGGTTAGTGGCATCAAGCCACGAAACATGTTTCTTGTTTAAACTGCAGTCCCGAGCAGCACGTTATCTGTGCTTGCGGCAAGGCCAAGCTGGAGAGCTTTGCGCAGTTCATTGACGCGACCTTTCCGCCAGAACCCGGGTTCGCCGCTCAGGTGTTGAAAGGAGCCTTCGTGTGGATTTTTCCTTTCGCAAAACATGTGCCTCAGGAAGGTGTATGCAGCAGCCTTCAAAACAGGAGGGTGCTTTCTTCGACCATATATGCTCGGATTTCGCCGAGACTTTGGGTACAGCTCGATGTGTGAGCCAGAGCAGATGATTTTGCTTGCGCAGCTGTTCTTGCAAGAGGGGTTCTTTGGCTTGTTCCGCAACTCTTTCAAATTTTCCATGATTGGTTTTCAGACTACATTGTAATTGTAGTCAACCCATTTGAAGCTGCTGAACGCTTGGCCCAGGTTCCGGACTGACCCAGATCTTGGTGGGACGGAGAAGATCACGATATGCGACCCGCAGACTTCCCACATGCTGGAGCGGCCTTACGCACCCTTGAGGAAGCTTCATTGTGGGAGCCGTGTTCTCAGGTGACGCGTGCCAGGGGGTTCCTGTTTGTAGGTGTGATGTTTGGGTTCAACATCGTTGGTGAGGTGACGAGATGGAACCATTTGCAGCTGGATTTGTCAAAGGCTGGAGGAGGTCCACTACTTTTTTGGCAGTTCTTGCTGGCCTGAAAGCCTTGGAGATCAAAGCAGAAGACATTCCAAAACAATTTGCTGTTACTGGCATGTGATAATGAATTTTTAGATGTCAGTTGAACATTTGATAAAACGAGATTCGCGGACTCAATGGCTAAACCACTTCCAGTGATTTTGGTAGACTCACGTCAGGGCAAAACGAGGAGTTGGCTTTCTCCAACAGAAAGCTGACAGAATTCAAGACAATAAGGGGCATCAGAATCAGTTTCTAGTTCCATTCATGCAAGGCTTCTTCGAAGACAATTCATTGCACAGTGGGAAACTTCAGTTCCATCAGAGAGCAGATCTTCGCCAACCGTGGCATTACCCTTGCCAGCACTCAGACAAGGAAGGCACCTCACGCCTTCAATTTCTTGAGGCAAATTGAATGCCTGTCCAGGGCTGGCTACGGAGGAGCAAGTGCCCAGTTTGAAGCTGATTGGCAGCAATCCATTGTTTTTGGGGTTTGCTAGCTTGCTGGGTGAGTGTCAGTGTACTTTTTTGAATCGGAAGCAAAACTGACAGCAAAGTTGGTCATTGCCCTTCTCAGTGTTCCAGCTGGTTCCTATTGTCAAGTGCCCCGCACAGTTGTAGGGGCCATGGTTTTGAAAATTGTGTGTGGAACCGTGTTGAAATGACGGCTGCTGGAGGGGCCTGCCAGAAGCCATTGTCCATCCAATTTGTCATCATCTTTAACAAAGCGGGGTAGTTCCTTTTTCGCGAGTTCCGAGGACTGGTCCAACAGCACAGCTGTTTGCAAGGCCTTCCAGATAGGTAAATGGGAAGGCGCAGCTGTCAGTTGTTTGCAGGCAAACGTGGAGCCAGCCATTGTGTCCATGCTCAGGGACTGCGTTTCAACGCGCGGCATGCGCTCATTCATCTCCCACGAAGTCGTGGGTCGAGGATGTTTCAACACAGGGTGGACTAGTGCCTCGGGAAACCAAGAGAGTTGGCACTCACAGCTCACCAACGGGCAGGACGGGGCGCTGGTGACTGAGAGGTTGAACGTGACTGTATTTTTTTGTTGGTGCTTCTCTCTGTGTGTGTGTTGTGTTGGTGTGTGTGGATCGTATTTCGGACTCGGACATTGGCAATGAGCTCCCAAGGTGAAGTTGTTCATCCAGAGGTATTGCCATGACTGGGATGCGCTCACAGATGGCATGAAGCGTCAGTGCACGTACAAAGAAGCGGTTTCCTTGCATCAGGTGACGGGATTGTTCTTGCATTTCCTGCAGACTCTTGAAACATATCTTCCGAGTGGGCAGTATCCAGCTGCTCGGGAGAAGTTGACTGGGATGTTTCTACTTGGTGGACTGGATGCTGAACTTCAGCTCCAGGGCGAGACCACGGTTCCTCCAGGTGATGTGCGAGCTATTGGCGCCTTCAGGACAGAAGTGTTTGAACGAAGATCGGCAAATTACTTTGAGTTGTTCAGCCACTTTCAAGCCTTTTTGTTGTGGGATGCCCCAGGAACTTGATTTCGAGCCACGAGTCGCAGCAGGCCAGTGTGCAAGAAGAGCGCGCCCGTGAACGTGAGCTGAAGGTCCGGCAAGCCACGTTGGAGCAAATCAAGGGCCAGTTGGAAGATGACATCAAACGGCTCCGTGATACACTTCCAAGCAAGCAGGCGCAAACCGTTGAGACGGCTTTGGATATGAAATACCTGAAGGATCGGCAAGCGAAACATGTTGGTGCACACAGTAGGTTTTGTGTTGTTCCACGCGCTGAAGCCCAGACATTCTTTTTGTTGGTTCTGCTAGTAGTTTGCGTTGCCAGTTGTTACTGGCCAATCATCACCCATTCTTGGCGATCTGCTTGTTTTTAACCAGTGGAGAATCTGAGGAAGGGGTTTGAGTTTGTCGCAGAGTGGATGCGGAAGAATTGCCGGGTGGTCTTCATTTCTGTCAAGGATGATGGCGAAGGTTCCAGCATGAGCAATACCCTGAGTGAGTTTTCCAAGTACATCGCAGAGCGTGGCAACACTACGGGGACAACGCGCTTCGTCTTTAACGCGTGGAAACTTTTTTGATGTAATTATCAGGGCTTCATTGCAACATGCTAATCACTAATGCAGGGATGAGTAACAACGCCTGGGTTACGCGCACTTGTGCAGGCATGTGATTTGCTCCATTGACGCAACCCTGTGGCCAGCCAGCAACCAGTACATGCTGGACAGCGTGAGTTTGATGCAGAACGTGTGCGCGCTTGGTCCGCAGAATGTTGGCTTCGTGCAGAACCCAGTTTTTCATGCAGGCACCACGATGCAAGCGCTTGTCAAGCATTCCCGCAGATTGGAGGACGCGCTCATGAAGAGCGAGCTTGACATCACGCAAAGAGTCACTCTACTCTTTCAGAAGGAGGCTGCCCGTCAAGGGAGTGACAAAAGGCCTCTGACACAGGTCGCAGTGAGTCCGGTGGCATCGAAAGCATGCAAGTGGAGCGACTGCGAGGTTCATCAGACTGGGCTTGTGGGACCCCTGCCCCTGGTCCGAGTTTCGGACATGGAGGGGTACGATCCTGAGAACGGTTTGCGTCCTGGGGCTGGCGCGAGAGTGGAACAGACCCTTGACTGTTTTGAATGTCATTTTTGTCATATAATCTTCGGATCGCAAGTGCAACAACCCAGTCAGAAAAGCCATGGGTGGCAATGTCCAGAGCCCCCTATTTTAAAAGGTCAACGTGCATTTGGGAGGCAAAAGAACAATTAAGAACGGCCTGACCTTACACTTGGAGATTCTGAGGATCAATCGACTGTGACTAATCACTTGTTTTGCTCTAATTTCACAAGCCACTTGTGCGCTTTCCAAATTTGTTGC